CTGCTCGTAGGGCCTGCCCTGCTGCCCCTTGACCATGTGAGTGGCCTCCTCTGAACCCTCTCCAGGCTGTCCACATCCCTCCTGAAGTGCGGTGCCCAGTACTAGATGCAGTACTCCAACTGCGCCCTGACCAGTGTTGCCTAGAGGGGGAGGATCACCTCCTTGGCCCTGCTCATGATGCATCTGTGGATGCATGACAAGGTACGGTTGGCCTTCCTGTCCGTGTCCTCACACTGGCGGCCCATGTTCATCTTGGCATCAGCAATGACTCCAAGATCCAATTTTGCCTCTGTGCTGATGAGAAGGGAGTTCCCCAGCCTGTAGGTGTGCTGCTGATTGTTCCTCCCCAGGTGCAGCACCTTGCACTTGTCAGTGTTGAACCCATCCTGTTCTCATCCGCCCATCCCTGCAACCTGTCCAGATCTAGTTGCAGCCTGTCCCCCTCCTCCAGTGTGCCCACCTCTCCCCACATCTTAGTGTCATCCGCGAATTTGAACAAGGTGCTTTCCACCCCCTCATCCAAGTCGCTGATAAAGATGTTGAACAGCGCAGGCCTGAGGACCAAGCCCTGGGGGACCCCACTGCCCACATCCCTCCAGGTCTAAAATGACCCGTCTACCACCACTCTCTGGGTGCGGCCCTCCAGCCAGTTAGTGACCCGTCTGACTGTGAAGGCATCAATGCCACAGTCGCCTAATTTTTTTATGAGAATGGGGTGAGAGACAGTGTCGAAGGCCTTCCTGAAGTCCAGAAAGACTATGTCCACTGCTACCCCTGCATCTGAGGATTTTGTGACCTGGTCATAGAAGGTCACCAGGTTGGTCTGATAGGATCTGCCTTGAATGAACCCATGTTGGTTGCCCCTAAGCATAACCTGCCCTGCTGGCCCCTCGCAGATGTGCTCCTGGATAATTTTCTCAAAGAGCTTCCCCAGGACCGAGGTAAGACTAATGGGCCTGTAGTTTCCTGAGTCCTCCTTCCTCCCTTTATTGAAAATGGGGACCACATTAGCCCTCTTCCAGTCATCCGGCAGCTGGCCAGAGCACCACGAGTGCTCGTAAAGCCATGCCAAGGGTCCCGCGATGACCTCTGCCAATTCCCTCAGCACCCTGGGGTGGAGATTATCAGGACCTGCTGATTTGAACATGTCTAGACCCACCAGAAGTTCCCTGACTAGGTCCTCTCTGACCCTGGGCCTGGCTGCGCCTCCCCTGGGTCTGTTGGGGAGCCCAGTGGGAGGGATGTCCCAGTCCCTGCTCAGAAATACGGAGGCAAAGAATTTGTTAAAGAGGTTAGCTTTGTCATCCGCTGCAACCACCAGATTTCCAAGCATGTCCTGCAGAGGCCCCACGTTACCCGGTACATCTCCATAGCATCTCCGAGCTAACAGCCTCTACAGACAGACAAGGCACAAGAAGCAGAGTCCAGCTGGCAGCTTGTCCAATGCTCCATGCTCCCCCTCAGCATGAAAACCAGTGTCTCCTTCCTATCTGAATATCTCTCATAGGTCTTAGCATCCAGTTGCTGGTTCTCCTGAAGCCTTTCTCTGCTAAAGGACTTTGCAAGCCTCATGCAGAGAGCCGCGGCCACCCTGCTCCCACGGCTCCCTGCAAGGCGGCTCTCGCCTCCCCTCCCACTGGGAACCCAGACGCACTGTGGGCCTGAGGAATCACAGGGCTGCAGACTCATAGGGCTGGAAGGACCTCTGGGGTGCTCTAAGGCCAACCGTTGTGCAAAGGCTGCTGCGCCGTGCCCGACCCACCCTGCACATGGCAGGCAGGACAGGCTGTCTGCTCTGAGCTGGCGGGAGGGACAGAGGCCCTTTCCCTGCTGTGCCGAGTGGGTGAGGACCCCCCATTTGTGCCAGCCCCACTCACTGGTAATTCTGCTGCTTCTTCTGCAGCTCTTGGCGCCGGTGCTCTTTGAGAAACTCAATTGTGTCATCTGAATACTTTTTCCCTGGCAGAGGGAGGAAAAAGAAACCGAGTCAGCAAACGTGCCATGGGGCCAGGCAGCACTGAAGGGTCTGGGTCTTTCCGTGGTGGGGGAGCCCCACTAGAAAGAGTCCAACCAGCAGTGCCCATCACCGGATGGTGGAGTTGACCGCTGGGTCACGTCCGCTCTGCACAAGGGTAGGCCCTGGTGGGTGGCCGCAGGGCACGGACTGCAGAGGAGACAGGGGCTGTGGTGCCAGGGTGCATTTGGCAGTGCGAGGCGTCCTGGTCCTGGGGCATTTGCACCTGGTGCTAGGCAGCAGCTGGTGCAGCTGCTCTCCCTGAAATCCCAGGGCTCCCCCAAGGTGGGCAGGAGGAGCGGGGTCTTACCTTTCCCTTCCCTGAGGTGCAGGGTCGTGTTCCCCTCGATCCACTGGTAGCAGGGGAAGCGGTAGATCTCCCCCGCCGGCCCCGTCACCTGGATGAAGTCGCAGAACCAGGCATCCTCGAGATAGAGCCTCTGCTTCTGCACGTGGACCAACACGATGGGGCCCAGGTCATGATCACACTTGATCTTCTTGTTCTGGGGGCAGAAGCCAAAGTGGTTCAGCTCCCCCAGCTCGGAGGGCTCAGCTGGGCCAGGCCAGCCTCTCCTGGACACCTGGGTTTGCTCCACATGTCCAGGGAAAGGGGAGGGATTAAATGGACAGGCTGAGTCTGTCCAGGCATGGTGAATCCTTCCCAAAGGAGCCATTCGGCTTGGCCTGGCTCACCCGGGGGGCCCTGTGGCCTCTGGTCCACATGGCTGGGGCTGCTACTGCCCTCCCTGCTTCACTCTGGGTTTGTCTGGGCATCGCCTCAGTGTCTACATCTTTGCTTATGATGGTGACAGACATGACAATGAATGTAATGATGAGTGAAAGGACTTGGGAAACAGGTGGGGAAGGGGAAGGGAGAAGGGCACTGAGGTGGTCGTTTGTGCAAGTGTGATGGTTAAAAGTGACAGTGATGATGATGGGCAAATAGGTGGGTGGGAACGCAGGTGCGCAGATGCACGGTGCATTTTTCAACAGGAAAGAGAAAGGTATAAGTGTAAAGGTGTGTTCTGGGCTGTCAGGTGAATCACAGTGGCCACAAGACAGGTTGGTAGAGGTATAGCTATAGCTCTATTTATAGCTTTATTCCTATATAGAGAGAGAAATAAATAATTTTGCAAAAAAAAAAATACTGATAAGTAGGCAGGAGGAAGAGGGGACCAGCTGTCACATCTGGCTGAGCTGCAGCATGACAGCAGTCTACCAGGCCCTCTGCTTTCCCATCCCTGTAGCACCCTCCACCCCTGCACCCTCCAACCCCCAGCAGAGGCTGCTCCCCAGGCTCACGGTTATCTTGTGGATACCAAGGTTCAGCCACTCCTGGCTGCTCTCTCCTTGGGTTCCCACCAGGGTGATGGCCACTGAGTTCACTGTATTTGCTAAGGGAACATCGCCTGTGACGATTTGGACTTTGTAAGTGGCCATGTGGGTCCAGCGGGAGTGTGCAGAGTGTCAAAGAAAGCCACACGCGTCAGGCTCTTCCGTGCGCCTCTGTGCCAGGGAGGGAGTGTCACCGATTGTGCAGCAGCTCTGCCTGAGACGACAGGGACCTTCGTGGGGTCTCAGACTAGCCCAGCTCCTGGCAGGCACTGTACTCTGCAAAGAAAGCATTGAGAGCAGAGGATCCCATGGGCAAGGAGGCAGCCTTTCTCCACCGGACAGCAGGTGTTGCTGTGCCAACGGAGACCATGGATCCGAGGCCAAGCCGAACTGGAGCAGAGTCGTGACAGTCAATGACAGGCCCCACCAGACCCTGCTGAGGTCTTCACTGTTCCCCCCACACATCTCCCCTCTTGCCCTTTTCAACCACAACTTCCCTCCCCCTGGCCTATTTTGTCCTTGTTCCTAGGGCCAGTGGCCTCAAACCCATCACTGGTGCTCCCCCAAGCTGTTCTTCCAGGAGGGGAACCGCT